AAAAAAAAAAAAAAAAAAAAAAAAAAAAATTGTAAGAGCCCCATGCCAAGTGATGAATTACATGTCTACGTTTGTCAGTAGACTAATTAACACTTTTAACGTTAGTGTTTGACATATAAAGAAATAGTAAATTTGATATAATCAAATGCTTTCATTAAATTTTGCTATGCACTGGTGATGTTGATAGACTCTGTTCCTTTTCGTAGCAACAATGTTACGTATCAAGAAAAAATTTTCATGAAAATAATCATGAAAGTTTTGTAATCCTTGAATTACACTTAAAATAAAGTACCACACACTAATCAAAGGTAATTCAAGATTTCATGATCATTTTCATGAAATTTTTTTTATGATCCCTAACTTTTGTCTTTTCATAGGTGTGATCAAAATAACAGTTGTCTTGACTTTTAATTATTTTGAAAATTATGCACTACTTAATAATATAAAAACACCTTAAAAAATAAATATATACATATATATAAAAGAGAGATGAGATCCTTACCAACAGTTGCAGAGTTGAAGGTGGTGGAACCTCCTCCCACGCTTCGACTGCCAGTGATAATGGTGTTTTTCAAGCCATCACCAACGAGCATAATATTCTTCATTTTGTTGCCAATCTCAATATTTTCCTTATAAACACCACTTTTCACATGTATAACAAATCTCCCACTGCCGCTCCTCTTCGCCGCGACATCTAGGGCTGCTTGAATGGTCGGGTAATTCCCCGAACCATCTTGAGCCACCACGAGATTTGCTGCTGGAGACGGCGATTGCAACAGCTTGCGGTTTCCAGGTGAAACCCAAGTGGGAAAACCTTCTTTATACGTTTGTTTCTCGGTTGAGCCATTGTTAATAGCCAAAGTGTTGCTGATTAGCTTCGAAACATTGTTAGACATGAGAGGCAACATGAAGTCAGAGACACCTAACTCAATGAACCCAGCTCGACAAGTCTCAAGATTTGTCAAAGCCGTGCTGAGCCACGTCTGAGCATCAAAATCAGAACATTTTGTGTTAGGGTCTAGTGTATTGTTGAGTTGGAGAATTGTGCTCTCATAGAGCTTCAAACAATCAGACCATGCATTTTTTTCGAGCTCATTGCGACATTTGGACCCGAGCCACTTAGTGTGAGTCTCGGCATTGAGAGCTCTCTCCATGGCTATTTGCATGGCCATCTTTCTGAACTCGGATTTTTGTTTGGGTACAAAATTGTGAGAGCCATTGCTCATGAAGTATTTGCATGGTTCGGGATATGGGGTTTTGTTGCACCACTGGTTTATGTCGTCTGAGGCGACAGATGATGAGGCAGAGGAGAGGAATGAAGAGAAGGATGCAAAGAGTATGAATAATATTTCAAACTTGGTTGCCATTGTTGGGTGGTTTGTTTTCTTGAACTTGGTTCTATAGGTTGTGAAGGTGGCCTCTTTATATAGTTGAAATATGGGTGACAAGTTGGCTTAAGTTGAACATAGGTGGATGAGGATGACAACTTGACAAGTAAGCATAGAAGAGATGACGAGTAAACAAAGTACAAATGCAATAGATGATAGGTAAACGAAGTACAAATGCAATCGGAAAATATTGTTGGAAAAAATGATTTTTCGGTGACTTTAATTAAATATTAAAGTGGGTCCCAACCATCTATTGTGTTGAGTCCAAGTGGGTTTAGATACTTTGCAATGTGATCTTTACACCACAAATAGTATAGCCAAAACCGTTGAAATTTGAATGAGAAATTGCCCCATGAAGTTAGCTTCATGAAAGAGCTAATGGAGTTTGAAACTTCTGCTTTTATTACAGAGTTTAATAGTGCATTAATGGAGTTTGTAACTCCTGCCTTTATTACAGAGTTTAATAGTGCATTAATGGGGTTTGTAACTCCTGCCTTTATTGCAGAGGTTAATGGTGCATTAGTGACCAGCCATAAAGGCTGGAGGCTTCTCCTCTCTCCCTTATACATGTATAAATTGAGACCTTCCTGTCAAGTCTCCAACACAGAAATTGTTTCTTCCATTCTTTAGTCAGTTTGCCAGAAAGTTCCTATTGTGAGAGAGTGCTTGTAGACACCCTATTTTTGACCGACCTTGAGACTCAGACGTCACCAGTTGAGCGCTCGGTGATATTGCATATTGTGCTCGTTCAGAAGTTTCAGAGACTCGACTGCGAGCCTTGCCTCCGGACTTCCGGACTCTTTTGTGTTTTGCCTCGGTTTGCGAACCAAGCTCCGTTTTCTCTGTTTTCTCTTCTCGAAGGGAGGGAGAGGTCTCATAGACCATCTCCCAGTGGCCGTAGGCTACGTTTTGTGGTCATAGGCCGTTTTTGCCCGTTTGGAGTCCAGTTTCCGGTTTTTCGGAGCCGTTGGCCGTGTGCCTCGGTTCGGGACCGCTTAACCATCTCCGTTTGCTCCATTTTTTGGCATACTTCTTATTTGCTCCCTTTTGAGGGACACTGTGGTCCGAGAGACCGACTTCGTGGTCGAACATCACTCCCGATGCCTAACAGCCGGCTTTTGGGGCCTCGGGCTGCGCGTTTCGGCCCCCGAACCTTCGTTCTGCATCGGTTTCGGTTCATTTTTGGCAGGGACCTCTGTTTCATTGGTAAGAAGGCCGTAGAAGGGTGGGAGGCCAGTAATTGTTCTGTCAGCCAACTTTATCCCTTCATCGCCCTCCGTCGCCCGATTTTCTTCACTTCAAAGCCAATGTTGACCATCCTTGGGCCATTTTCTTGCACCCTAAACCCCATATTAGTGATGTACACATCTGGGAGGCAACCAATATTTGGTGGCCGGTCAGTAATTGCTTTTGAACCTTTTGAACCCCTTTGAAAAGTGGGTTGTTCTCTCTCCTGGTTCACTATCTCCAGTTTTTGACCACATGATTGTGTTGAGCACACATAGGAGACCACTAATATGTGGTGGCCGGCCAGCAATTGTTCTTGGACCTTTTGACCCCTAGCCGACCGGCCATGGGAAGTAGCCGACCGGCCACCTGCAACCTGGATAACCAGCCAGCCTTGCTCCTTGCTATAGGTACATTTCAAATATGCATCTCTTTTCCCCCCAAATTTTGTATCCGGGGGGCCAACTTTTTGGGGGGAAACTTGAATTCATTTGGTGCTCAAGGACAACCGAGCTCCCATCCACGACGCAAGGGGCAAGTTCAAACCTAATTGGACTGGTCCTTACATCATCAAAGCTATCTGGTCAGGTGGAGTTGTGGTTCTGATGGATCTAGATGGCCTAGAGTTCTCCCAACCGATCAACATGGACAAGTTGAAGAAATATTACCCCTGAGAGGCTCGCTAGGCCGAAAACCCGAAAGGGCGACCTAGGCAAAAGTCAGAGCACAAAAAAAA